TTGTGCTCACGCAGGTTTTCGTCTCAACTTGTCTAAGAAGTAGGATCAGTTATGGTAGGCAGATAACAGACACAATTTATGTGAGGATACGAAAGATTGTTCTCACGTTTGCTAATTTATCTCATCTATGACCCTGGTGTGATATCTGGCTGTGCATCAAGGACTGACCGTACTGTGCAGTAGTTTTTTCTTCTGTTACGTGATTGTGAAACATGGAAATTAAAGGCATATAATATTAGAAAGGCCTTAGGTGTTTGACCAACCTTCCCTATATAGTTCTTGTTTCCTAGTGCTACAACGCCAGTAACATAGGATTCAAGTGTACAGTTTTCAGCACAGGATGTAAGTTAGCTGAGGGGATACTGAGTCTTCATTGACTCGCATATCTAGGACATATGCTAAACATTCTTAGTCTCCGCCAACCCCGTTGCTCATTGTTAGCTGAATGACGTTCAGGATGCAAAAGGTTAAGAAACTCCCAGATTTAAAATTGACATCAGTCCATAAAACCTCTGATTGTCGGTTCGAGCCATATGGGGAAATGTAGACTCTCTGATTAGGGTGTGTGCGACAGCCAAAATCAGTGATTGGAAACTGGATGAAGTGGGTGAAAATCGATCTCTGTGATGCAGGTGTACCTACACAGCATTTTCGTCTTAATCGTGATACTGAATTTCGCTTTTATTTTGTTCCTTTTCCTCCCTTTCTCCCAGTTTCTAACACTATTGATTACGTTCTTCCTCCTTTTTATTATCCTTCATACTGCTATCTTCTTCCTTGTTGTACTATTTTAAAGTTTGGTAACTTAAAGCATTTTAAAGTGGTGCCAGGTAGCATTTTATATCGACTGACTGACTTTATTTATTGGCCAAATAAATTGTCTACCTTGTCATCCTCATGACAGTTTGTGCATTTTTGTTGTGCTTTATTGAATCACAAACTTCGTTCATCTTCTTGTTCCATCTAATGATAAATACATAAATGTAAAAATATTTTTGCTTTGATGCTTGTAATTTCCTCTTGCTATACAGGGACGAATTGCTCGACCTCTGTTAGTAGATGGGCTCTTATACGCATGCATCGATACTGCTTGAAGTTCATGGTGACTAGTAGTGGAATTCACTACAGGTGTTTCGTTTTATTTTGGTCTTTCCAGCTGGAAGTACCTGCACCCAATGAGTGAAGCGATGGGCAATTGGTTTGAGTCTCAGTGGAAACAACATCATTCACTTAGGTGCGTCCAGCTGCAGAGTTCCAAATAGGATGGAACGCGTGTCCTGGATTCCACTGCTAGTCACGAAAATGGAAATAGCAAAAATGTTTTATTAGTATTAGGTGTATTACTGAAGTCTACCAAATTTTTACACTGATTCCAACGAATCGACTTAAAAGTAGTTGAAGTTGGTATATGCGTAAATTATTAAGCGTACACGAAAAGACATGTGATCACTTCATTGCAATATTTTCATTGTTCTTGCTTTACGTAATATTGATCCATCTAACCCTGCAAAAGCTGAAGAAGCAATCTATTCACTTGAACTCAATAATGCTTTCAACCAAAGTGCTTTGCTCTAGATTCTGTCTAAACTTGCTGAGGATGCATTTATTGAAACACTTCAGTATTAAGATCACCTCTAGAGTGCGTACACGTATGTACTTTTGTACATTTAAACAACCACTTGATTGCTGATGGAGAAAAAAATATGCGAATTAAAGTCACGTCATACGAACTAGAGTAACACAAGTTATTCTAATCAGTTTAAGAGACTGTTTAGGTGAGAAAAGACTGTGAAGGTAATTTTAAAATTTTACATTACTTTCAACTAACCAGTCGTTAAAAGCATAGACGGAAGATTATAAGGATACAGCATTAAAAAAGCAAATAGAAAATGACTGATGAAAAAAGAACTCAGAAATTATAACTATCCAAAAACTGAGGACATAAAGGTTACTCAGCAACCTTCTAGTATTACAGTATGGTGAGGAAAGCGAAAAAGGCTATTGTTTGTTTGAAAATGAAATGAGTAGGTTTCTTCATCAGATCTTCCGTGGACAAGATAAGATTTGTATAAAAAAGGGAGGACAAACTAATTGATAAGGAACAAATGAATTCTTTCCATTTACTAACTATTTGTTATAAGCGCATTGAGGTTGTCTTTAGACTACATTCTCAGTCAATTAGATAAGATTTAAAGTATATTGATAAACGCGATTTTAGGCGTGATCAGAAAATCCAATGACAGTTTTTATAATATGTTTACTTTACACGATTCAGTAAGTGTTTGTGAATTAGGAGATTTTCGTGGAATAAGACTGGTGTACTTGCAGCTGATATCCAGAACATAAAAAGTGATTCCATTTACAAAGCAGATGCTGGTAAAACACCACAATGCTTCATTGATCCCTTTGAACAACTACCTCTCTGAACTGGTAACATAGTGTTTACTCTGAATGCTCACAGTCATTGCTCCTTTTATTGAATCCATCTTGAATAATGAACTACTTTATCAACTATGACATATTGTCAAACTGGTTTTCAGTTATATATTTTTCGTAAGTCTCAAGATTTGTGAGGTGTACGCTATTTGATCATATTGTATAAAGTGTCTAGCTTTTTATTCAGAGCTTCATTAAATCTGCTTTTTAATCAGTCATGGAAACATCTGTCAAACAAATTTAAGTTAACTTCTTCTGTTCACATTGTCAAACTAACAGTAAATTTTACGACCAATTTGGTACTGAAAATCTTGTAAACACATGAGTTAGATGTCATGCTTGTTGGTAATTATCAGAAAGGGGTATCTGCAGCCTCAAGAGAAATGATGTCTTCTGTGGGATTCGAATACACATCGCCCACTATCATAGTAATCGACGTTGCCATTCAGCTGTTTGGGCCATGGATGAACTTCTATAGGGCTGGATTAAATATACTGATTGATCATACCAGAGCAGCAAACATCGTGTTGTCTAGTCCTCATTGCTAACTGAATTGTATAAACCTTTCTGCTATGTGGCCTGTAAACTAGAAGGCGTACCATCGTAGAGCACAGGAGGTCAATCTCAGCTTGAATGCCCCAGCTATATCATCTCTGACTGCAATACTGACTGATATGATTTTGAAATTTATAGAGAACATCGATTCCCTCAAGGTTGCAGATACGCTTTGTTTATGAGTGTCAGATCTTCCTTTCGATTCCCTCTAACCAACACACATCAGTGAAAGTGTACCACAATTATGAGTCACCAAGCTTGATAACCTCACTGCAAAATGATCGATAAAATCTGTTTAGAACTCAGGCTCAGACAACACTAAGTTGGCTGCTCTCCAGCGAACAACCGATGCATGGACAAGAGTTTTGCTACATTTTTCGTTAAAGGTGGAAATTCAGAATATCCTTAGGTGTTTTCGAATGTCTAGCCCATTTTGATCTCAATGAAGCGGTAAGTTTTACTAACTAAGTGAGGATGCATTTCAAACACTAAGATGATTTAACTTCTGAACCATTTCATAGCTTTATTCATTCTGTATATACTACTGTTATTGTGAAATAGTTTCCACTTTGATAACAGCCGTCAATCTACATTACAGTATAAATATTTTATTATCGACAGTATTAGAACTCTGGGTCTGAGTGACCCTGGTGGTGACAGATCACAGTGAGTTAAAGTAGTAATCAACTCTTTATCAACAGTCTAATAAGTACAAAGATCCACGATTCTTCGGTGAAAACGTGCTATATTTTATGACTCAATAGATATGTGTTAACAAACCACCATATCTTTTGGATTGCTATCCGTCTTCTTCAAGAATATAACAATAAACTCAGGACTTTTTTTGATTATGAATGTCATTAGTAAGGAGTAGACGATTTAGAGTACTTCAATATTTGTACGAATTTACCGCCCGGAGATTTTTTAACAGAGAAAAAAACCAAGAATGAGTTACAAGTACTTTCATGAAATTCCATTTAATTACTATAAAATTCTGAAGACCAACGCTTCTTCAAAAATTCTTCTTGATAAGGGATTCTGAACTACTAATTTAATAATCTATGGGTAGTTGGTTCGTGTAGAATTTGTAAAAGTCTATTTCATCATACATTATTAGGACGTGTGGTGGGCTTTTGCAGCTATGGCGAATCAGTTGCTGCTGAGATTTCTATAACCATACACTGGTATTTGACTAGATGTTTCATTCACTTTCAAATTCTGCAAGTTTATTCAGACAAATATAGTCTCTGTGGTAGAAAATAATTAATCATTAAAGATAACTGATATTTTAAATGCTTAATACTTAACGCAGTGGTTATCTTAAGGGTTAGCCATAAAATGACACTTTAACGTGTAGATGTGCAAGAAAACACAACTGAATTAGCTTGAAAAAACAGTATCGCATTTTTCAAACTGAAAAGAAGAGCTTGTACCAATTCCTAATAACTGTCAATTAAGGTAATAAATACATTTTTGTAAATTTTACACAGCATCAAAATCGTTGGAAAGTTTAGTTGAAACTTGGTCTTAAATGTGAAATAACAAAGCCTTCAAGAAGGAATAGAACAGAAGATTCAACCAGGGGAAATTTCCACCAATGTTCAAATCACCAAGTTGGTGTTCTTAGGGAATAAACACATCAAGAAAAGATGTTTAAATACAATGGCTCCTGCTTTGTCGCATGTAAATAGTGAACGATGAATTCATTACAGTAAATCACTTAATCGACATTATCTCCATGAAATTCATTCTTAGATCATTCAGTGGCATATCTCTAGTCCTATTTCAAGTCCCCCTTTTCAGTAAATATTCAGAGAATTTTCAGTAAATTTATATTAGAGAAACAAATTAACGATAATTAACAAGTAAGGAAAAAACATAAATATTCTGCTAGCCAAGAGACCTAGAAAATTACTATACAGAATTAATATTTCGCACTTAATTTCATCGCATACTTTCATCCAAACACAGAATCATTATTAGGAATCCTCAAGAGTACTCAACTTTACTTAGTCGTCTCGAAACGCAGGTGGAAGCTCGGGTTCCGTACTTCGTGGTACTGAAACAACCACTGCAATCACAATAGTGGTAATATAGATAAAGAAAAATAAGCGGTCTAGCACTATTGCTAAAGTACGCCACTCCATAGCCACTAAGCTTTTACGAGCTGTTTCCTTTTGTCGGTTAACTAGCATCTTAACGTATTTCTTCAGCTCCCTCACATCACGTTCCAGTGTTGTTGTGGAACTCCAAACTGATGGCGATTCTTCATGGTATACTGTATCACCTGCCTCATTTGTTGACAGTTTCGGCAAAGCTTGTCCCAAATTTCCTGGTATCTGTGGAACACCTTTTATTGGAGCTGTCATTGGATAAGAATCGAAGTGACTAGGACATCCTGAACCAGATCGACGATCATTTGGACCAAACCAGTTTCCAGCAGCATTTCCTAAGTACTCTTCCCCATGCAAGCGATGACTGCCTGTCATATTGCATGGCGGGAAAGATCCACCTCCGAAATGTCTATTGAGATCATCTTGACGAGTCTCTTCACCACTGGGAACTTGTTGGGCGACATACTAGAAATCTGGATCTTCTTAGGAGGTTTTGTAGCAATAGGTCTAATTGGCTTTTTCATCTCTGGTAGTGGGATTCTTTGGCGTACCATGGTAAGTCGTCCGATCCCTTCTATAACAATCTAAAAAGAAGAAACATGCAGTTATAGTAGTATGATCTGACCGTTATTTTATTGCTTTATTTCTGCCCTTATTATCGTGATTATAATTCCATTGGTTTGGTTAACCTTTCTCAGTTTTATTTAAATTATTTGGAAAGTTCATATGTGACCTGACTATTTGAAATATATAACGCTAGCACATCATATGTTTCACGTTACCTCAGTCTTCTGATCGCTCTGTTAAGATGTATCAAGGGGACTAACCGTTTCGAACTATAACACTGTTTCAAGAGTGCGGATGCTAATTGCATAATATTCCTGTATGAATACTAGGCAAATATCAATACCAAAGAAGTTCATACCATTGATCAGGACGGCTTCATTTCACATTACTTCACAAATACAAACATTTACTTTGCACTAACTCCTCGGAATGACAGTGAACAGTGATGCATTAAGAAGTTTACAAGACTTATACTCACTAGTAAGTTGATGGATGATTAGGGCTAGTGGATAATTGATTTTATGTGCAAAGCTCGAAAACAAGTAACCAGGTAACCTCACATCCATAAACCATAATCAGTAAGCACATAAAAATCAATATCTAACGCAAGAATTAGATATATGTTTCAATTTAGCCTTTCTCATCAGAAAAATTGCGCGGGCTAAACTGACACTGAGGATCACTATTCATATGAAGCTCAACAGTAGGAACACCAAGTGGCTTCAGGGATCAAACCTTGATAGTTGTCTGTTTTCTGGCGTCATACAATATATTACAGCGGTATAGTGTGACATCTTGAGAACTCAGAGGTAAGTTATAAAAATTATGTACATTATTTTTGAGATGCACGTAAGAAAGGTAATCTGCAAGAATAATATTTTCAAAATGAGGGAATAACTTTGTATTGGAGTTGCATCTGTATGCTAAGTTAGTCAAAAGAGAAATGAATTACGTTTCCCTTACTAAAAATCTTCAAACCGTTTAACTCAAACAATGTTACATACTGAAACAAAATACCAATTAATATTTGGGCATCAGCCCAAATGACTTAATTTGCTTACTTCTCCAGCAATTAAAGAAAAGTGATTTATTTGCTAATCTTTCGTGAGCTACTTGAGTCTATCGGCATTTGAAGTCATTTATGTCTGAAACATAGACATGGTCAAGTCAGATTGACTAATTCATGAAACCTTTCCGAGGACCCTTACCAAAAAATATAAGTTAACTTTACGATAAAAGAAAGTCTACTACGGAGAATGTGGATTTCATGAAAAAAATGTCTGCTGGATTTCACTGATGATCGTAGGTATAGATTTCATTAGGAAAACTAGTAGTGGCACGGGCCACTAACAACACAACAGACATATTCTGCATGCTACTACTAACTACCAGTATACATCAAAGGCACACTTTGAGCATATTTAATATTATGTTAAATTGTTTCAGCCAATTGCAGTAGACAACCAATTTACACTTATCCTGCAGTTGTTCAGTCATTTTATCATAGCATTCATTTAAATTCAACGAGTAGGTTGTAGAGGTGCTTCGCACTCTGAAATGTTGATAAGGAAATTCGATTACAGACAATTCATAAATTTCCTATGACTAAGAAATATCCATTTTAATCACATGAGGTTTTTGACAATATCTACAAGTGACGCCATACTAAATAGAATCTCAATGAATTAGGAAGGTAAATTTACAAAATTTTCCAATCTCATGAAAGTTGCTTCCTCAGCTGGTGCTTTTTGAGCTGATAAGTACATTTTGTTAGACAAAATGCATAATAAGAAACTGTTGATCCGAAAGCTATTAAAATCTAACTTTATATCAGTGGTATCTGCATTCATGCTCATGTCTGCAAGTATATGACTAGCCTATTGTGCGTTTCAGATCATTTTTAAGTGCTGGTATAAAATCGTTTATCCTGCTTATGCATGTAGGCACTTACTCTTCTCAAAAAAAATGGTACTGATCCGTTGCGATCACCTCGAAAGTAAAGGTGAATCACCAAAGTTGCTAAAAAAGTAGACAGTGTAATCATAATCATGTTCAAGCAGAAGTAAACTCCTGGAATTGAAAGAAAAATGTCGAAAAGTTATATAATTTCACTTTTAAAAGAATACATAGAATTAATATGAAATTTATTCAGTAGCTTCATTGTTGCTATTCATCTGTGTTATCTGGAAAATCGAAAAAACACGTTCTTTGCTCCTACAGCTTAAATCGTTGGATGGTTACTGACCTAAAGTTGCCCTAAACTAAGTATATCCCAAGGCCAGTGGGTAGTGTGATACTATTTAGATTTCGGTCTTACTGCAGAAAAACCTAACATTGATCTAAGTCAAAGTGATGTAGGTTCGAATTTCTAAAACAGAATCGTTTTCAATATTACAAGTAACGAAGATTGCCAAAACCCATGGGACTTAGATGCAGTGTATCATTCCTAATAATTTTGAAAAGGGCCATATCAAACGCGGTGATTCGCTATTTTATAGGTTACTGTAAAGCTTAGGATCATGCAACTGCATGAATTGACTTCCAAACTTTCAAAAGTCGCTTACAGCTCAAGCACGAAATAGATGACAATCGACAGACCAATATTTTTGCCAATGAAGTGGAATAACTTGCTGAAAAATTTCATGTAAATCTTATCTTATTCTTGATTGTATTGTGTTCTCTGAGTTGGGTTGTTTAATCGTTGGGTCAGGAGTAGAGTAAAATCCTAAATTTCTGTTCATCCCAAGTGGCCAATAAATATCGAAGCTTACGGACTTAGTTAGTCTCAAAGAAATCTACCAAAAACAATACGTACGGAAAATTTATATTACGGTAACAACTTTGCTCTTATTGTTTCAAAAAACGGTTAGAGCCAACATCTTTTATGATACGAGGTACAACGAATTCGATAAGAAAACAGCTAGCAAACTTGTCAAACTTTCATTGTGACTGGTGTGATAGGCACTTTCATGGAAAACATATAAATGGGTTAAGCAATTTTCTGAATAATGTAGCCATTGATATTATTTATTGTCCGATTTGTAGTATGTTTATCCTTTTTATTTCGAACAGATAAGATATTAACGTAGATCAGATAAATGGTGCACTTGTTATTGGCTAACACTGGGACCCAGAAACTTTTCCCTATTACATAGGAATCGTCAGCTGGCTGCAAATGCATCCAGGTATGTGATGGCAGCCCCGTTGAAATGAAAACACCCTACTTAACATCATTAGTCAGTTAGTATCAGAATGAAACTTGAGGTAATACCAGGGTACCTGTCTGTTCAAGAAAACTTTTATGCCAACAGATAATGTTTAATTTTGTCCACCGAAATGGGAAATAAGAATTTTTAGGTCACAAACTAAAACGTCTCATGTATTAGTTAGGTTAGAATAGGAAAGAAAAGTTACATACCAATTAATGGGAAGTTCTTCACAGCGCTTGGTGTCGATTCAGCGAGCAACAGTAGCAACACAAAAAATGCAACGAATATGTTCATGCCTGTTTTAAACGAAACAATCAAAAATAGTTGCATGCCAAATCTGATATTCATGAATTAACAATCTGGGTACTCGAATAAGTAAGCTTGAACAGTAAAATCAACTACACCTATGTTCGTTTTCATTACTGGTTGTAATTTACTAACAGATGAATAATGAGAACGAAATATTTTGACAACACGTTGTTATCATGGATGTTAAACCTTTGACCATTTAGCTCTCAATGAAGACAACTCACTCCACCGTAAGGTGGTTATCTGGGAAGAAAGGAAATTAGGTGACAAAGAGGAAAAGCAGACCATATTAGTTATAACTGAGTAAAATTATGAAGTATAAGTAATCATATTAGCATGTTAGCATCATTCTAGGATTATGCTGACTCAAAAAATTAACAGTACGGCTTTTGTCATCCACTTTGTCCAATATTTCGCCCCTGCAAAACAGGTAAAAAGCTTGCCTCTGTGCACTAAGTAATTCTCTTCCTTTTCATACATTCTCTATCCCCAGTGCAAAAGCCTCAAAACAAAGAGTTAACACTCTTCATGATAGCATTTTAAAAATTTTGCTGCTGCTGTTATTTTTTGCAGCTTCGATTGACTGAACTAAACTAAGTAGATTGAATGTGTATGCATGTGACAACCAAACTAATCAGGTTTTTACTAAGACACTGAAGCTTGAAGATTATTTTTAGAAAAATTCACTTTTGTTTTGAAAAAGTTCAGTTTCCAAACACTGGTGCTACGTACATTTCTGCTTACATCCACTTGGCGCTGAACCACTTTTATTCTAACCAATTATTTATATCCTATCTATAGTTCTAGTCTAGTTTTTGTATACTTCCATTTATGTCTTATTTCAGTTCTATTGCATTTTGATAAGTTATTGTTTAAACTGTCTTGTAACTGTTACAATGATTATCAGTTTCCATAAAATTATTGATACTTTGGTCAGTTCAGCTATAGTTTTTAACGGTAACTATACTGAAATATAGAACTTTGCTTTTCACTATAATGTACAGTTTATTCATACTGGAAGTCAGAAGTTTGTCATCAAAAACATAACGTAACCTTCATTTTATTCCTGTTAGTACTCATAAGATATAGTATTATTAAACTGTTGTTTTCTTAGACTTGACCATCCATTATTCATTGAGGAAAGAAAAGTATTTCACCATGAAGCTACTCAAATCACACTCTGGAGTGAATAAAGGGTATAGGGGTGTGAAGTTATAGATTTAGCCAAAGACATTTACTCAAATACCCACTTGTCTGAAATGCTACACTGTGCAACAGTACAAGGAAAAGATTTAGAAGAAATGGAAGTAAACAAAATAGTTATCAAGTGCAAAAAGAGAAACCCAATAAAAAACAAGCTATCTTCAAATATTGCACTAAAAATGTACAACCTTTTATCAGATAAGTCACTTCTGCCTTCACCTTGTTGTTCCACTTCCAATCTGTTATAAAAATTCCTAGGTTAAATTGGCGATCCATTGTAGGGCTATATGTTGTCAAAGTGTTAACTGCTTGTTGACAAACTCTAGAATAGTTTGAAAAGTTCACAATAAGTAGGTGAATACGGTTAATCAAGAAACCAACTTTTTCACTTCCTTACAAAGGTCTATGTTTTCCATCTAAATCACATGTGCACAGTGATGCATTTAGTATAACCTAAGGTCTGAATAAATCGATTAGACTTAGGTAGCCGACATATTCCAAGCAACTTCGTACAAACCAGTTAATTGTGTATACTTGTTTATGACGTTTAGTATCCTATAAAATACTATTTTCAAGGTTTGGTAATACTTAAAAGATATCTTCTTAAGGTTCAGGATACTTCACATTATCAAACTGCCTTGATCATTTAAGATTTTACAAATGTGTTTACAGAAGTTTTGATACTGAAGTTGATCGTTTTTTATCACATAGGGAAAACACTTTAAATGAATCGAGAAATGAGAAAATAATGGTCAGTTAGAAAAAAACAGTTTCAGCACACTCCTACCTACTGAGAATTACTACACAGTTCCTTATACAATCATTTGTCAGTGTTACTCATTTAAGTTTCAGAGACAAAACCTAATCTAAACCGATTCAGCTTTTAAAAACTCCAGAGAGCCCAGGACGAGCTTAATTTCCATTTTATCCGTGTCGGCTGTTCATGAAACTGACGTCTGAAAGTTAAGTTCTTAGAAATTATAGTAATATTTAATAAATCAATTCGCACTGGTTGGATCAATACTTCTGCAGTGAGTAAACAGACAATCGATTTAAGTTATTTATTTTAAAATATCTACATAACGATTCCCTAACCATTCTCAGTTTAAGGATGGAGAGTGAAGTGATGGAATGAATTGACAATTTCACTAGTTGAGGAGTTGCAGCAGCTTAAATGAATGGGTTGCTAGTGAAATCTCAGTTGGGATGCAAAAGGCCAGCATTTACTAACTTGCGTCATCCTTTGTGGCGACAAAATATCTAACTGTTAAAAATAGGTCGCATAATAGGGCTGTAGGATATGGTTACTGAAAGTAGGTGTGGAGAGAATACAAACGTTTAACCATGGGTGTCGTTTTAGGATTGCTGACTTAATGGAGTCACCATGGGAGTGATGCTGAGGTTAGACAAAGGGTACTACATTATCTAGGTCAGTCAGTTGATGTGGCTGTGGACCTTCAGCAACTTAGGTGTTTGTGACGTGTGTTGCGGATGCCATTCTACTAATTACCTCAGCATGCAATGTTGGTCAAAGTTGGACTAAGTTAGAAGAACGCCAAAAGTTTCTAATTCAAGACATGCTACCAATACGTAGTCTTTCGGATATAGGGGTTTGTGGGGATTTAGAGAAATTTCAAGTTGGTTTTCATCATACGCTGGCATCAGATGGGAGAACACAAGAAACCTGGCGGGGTAGTGGGTGCACACTGCTGAAGAGTCCCATATTAGGAGAAATAGCTACCCAGTGCTCCTAGGTTTCCAGTGTTTCTTCAACCGATGTCAGTCCATGATGGAAACCAACTTAAAATATAAAGTCTTTGGCTGCCAGTATAAGCCATATAGTGGGCGTAGACCACCTGGTTGGGATCCTGGAGATGGTAAGAACCATTGTCTAAGACCGTTGGTGAGATGGCTTAAAATTGGTCAGAATTGTCCAGATGTATCTGCTCACTCTTTGATATCTCAAGCTTGGGGATTTTTACTGACCTTGATTGACCTTCAGATCCCTTATGCTCTCATATATTTTTGTCTACTTTTTTATATCATTCTTTCCAAACCAATTTGTTCTTTGCATGCTGCTTGGGAAAATACAATCCTGTGCGACATTCTACATTGTTTTTTGTCTGACTGTCTGAACATGACTTTACTTCATTCCAGCAAAGATAGGGGTAGCTACAGCTACAGCTCGTGAAAATCTGAAAACGAAAGGTTCAGGTAAATTATAAATCGTTGCAATGTGTCTACAAAAGGAAACCATAAGCACTGATATCCAACTTTAACCGTTACACATGGAATGGTTATTCTGACTGAGTAGCCTAGTGGTTACCACTGGTGTTTGAAGTGATTGGTTGCTGATATTGGCTCTCATTAAAAGCCCAATCTCCCACTGGGATGTGGATACATTCTGCTGATGAGCTTCATACAGGACAAAAGACGAATCCCAGGATTCACTTCTATCCACTTTCTGCAATTACTTTCATTTAAAAATATATTTCCGGTTCAACGATACGTGAAAGGTGATGGCAACTAAAGCGTAAATTCAGATTCAGTTGAGACCAAAACAATATTCATCCAAAAATTAACATGAGAGATTTAAAGCAGTGTCTGGGATCAGCAGATCAAAGTTAGTCACTTTGTAGTCCTGAGTACCTAATACGAAGTTGAATAATGATAAAAAAACAAGCAATTATTACTCCGGTTAGCTGGTTCATTGAAAAAATATTTCAGTGATATGAGAGAAAGTGATGCAACAAAACACAAAAGTAATGTGTATTTTAATAACAAACAAATAGGAGAGACTGTTATTGGCTAACAGATGGACAGTGAGTCATCAAGACGGAATGTTCTAGGGTGAAATAGTGGGTTGATTCCAGAGGTGGAAGGGGATTGCATGATCATAGTATCCTCAGATGAAATATACAGTCGATTAAATTGATGATTAAAAAACAGGTCGAAAGAAATAATGGTTATAATGAATGATCGGAGTCAAGTAGTATGAATGTATTAATAGGGGGCTGGAGCTAACATGTTAAAGTGTAGAAAAGTAATGCACAGAATAAAAGTAAAAAATAACGACAATCAGTCATTAAGAGCAAGATGAATATTTAAGCTTCAATATTCAACAGTCATCACGTTAATCGACTGGATATTTTCCTTATACACACTATGACTATACAACTCCTTTCTGCTTCTAAAATCGACCCACTATTTCACTCTAGAGCATTCCATTTTGATGATCTAACGTCAAACTATTAACCAATGATAGATTCATCTGTTTGTTTCTCATTACTATGAATAAGGCACCAGAGCTGCTGAAAATGATGCATCTTACAGAAAATTTTCTTCACTGAAATAATGTATGTGAAAATGTTGTCTCGTTATAAATCTCATACTGTTTCCAGTGAAAATGTTCATCAGAGATAATAAAGCTCCCAGGCAAACAATTACTACACCTACCAAGCATCATTTTTGCTGGAGATTCTGGAGGTAACCAAAATACAACCAACGTTAATGATGATAACAGCACGCATGGAATCACTAACATAAATACATAAAAGCTTGGATTTCGTCTCAAACGGATCAGATAACGTAGAACTGGATATTCTCTCGTGATTACTTCACTCCCAACAGTTTGACTTCGACGTCGATGCTTTTTGACGGATCGAATTTGTATAGTGCGATTGATGTGGTGTACTTCCCGTTCTTTTCACCATCTGTACGCCACTCATTACTTGGTACATAATCAGAAAAGTCAAGGTAGGGCATTTCAACCATGGGCGGAGAATCTGGAATCCACCATAGAATGTCCATTTGTGTCTTATCATATGTCCAGGAACCGAACTCCAGCATACAGATCTACAAAAGAAACCATATGTATTCAATAGAGAAAGTCATTAAGCCCACATTGTGTTGCATGTTCAAAAAAGTCCATGGAGGTTTCGAAGACTGCCAACGTTTATTAGATATGGGTTTGAATGACGGTACTAATTAGCACTACCCTGCTGACCTCATAAGTAAGATTTCTGTAGAAGGGTATAATTTTATCTACAATATACAGCAAACGTTCTTCAGCCTTTATTCATGACTATTCATAATGTGTTCGAAATGGCTGCAACATCTTGGATTTCGATAGTTATCAAAACACTTTCATGCCGAGAATGCATCTATAAACAAGAGGTATTATGAGTATTATATAGGCACTGTGACAGCTTCTCTGCATAAATTATTGAACACGATCTGAACATTCATTTTAAACTTTCTTCAAACTCATAATTAGAATGATAGTACCTAATTTTCCGTCCAATATTTTTCCACAAACAAAACCTGTCGTTTCAATAAGATCGACAGTATTGAAAGTGTTATAACGACAGTGAAGAACAAACCTTTGCTCATACTTCTAGAATTCAAAGGATGTGCTCTTAGCTATGTCCTATTACAACTCCTAAGCCGTGCAGTGAATTGGACGTTATAAACGGGATGCTTTCAAATATCTTTTAGTAAGTTTCCAACACTGAATCCAAGATTAATGGGTACATAATCTCCGCTTCTCATCGCGGAGAAATCAAATTAGCTGTTCATGTGAAACAAGTTGCATAGGGTCCACTGTCAGGTAAGCGTGTCTTAGGATAATCGGCGACAGAAAAAGTTCGATCTCAAGTCACATAGTGACCCCAAAGCACCGAATAGATGCTAACATCTTTGAATGTGGTATTCAGAGTCCCGATAGAATAACCATATGGAGCTAGTCAGCGACGTTATCTTGTAGCTGTAGTCATGAAGATAAAATCAACCAATCGAAGCTCTAAATTCAGGGGAAGCAAGTAAAGATATTACTCCTCCTTTGTCCTTGAGTAAACTAACTACTGTTTTCCTAATTCCTGCAGCATCTAGAGACCGTTAGCTTGAATTTTGAGGCAACTCAGGTTTTAGTTTCACCTACAATCATCATTCAGTGCCAATAACATCAGTATTTTAAACCATGAGTATTTTAAAAGGTTCATGTGTAATTTACCTAATTTTATCTGTATCTGCAATGATTATTTATCGTTAGTTGGACAGTATCTTCTATCAAGTTCAAATCAACATCATATTTGACATACGCATGTAAGTTATCCTAGCACTGGAGGATTTAAAACTGATCTACTTACAACCTTGACCTCATATTCCGACTTAGTAAAAGTATTTACCACAAACTTGGCTTGCATTATGATGCACAGTTCCCTTTTACAACTGTAGAACCTGAAGAGAAGTTATTCAAAAGAACATTTTCCCCCACACTTTAGGGAAAGAGTTGGCTTTTAGGGCCACCTTAACAACTACAGGATTTTCAGATAGCGCACAACGTACAGTAACTTCCAATAACCAAATATGAAAGTATGTGAATACAAAAAATCCCTTCCTGGAGAAAGCAGAGTAATATAAGTATGCCAGCATTATACTGTTCAGTATAAACAGATATAACATGGTGATTATTCATCATTTAATGGATTTACAACAAAGGAAACAATGGAACAAACTACTCTACTTTTTGAATCACAGTATGCATTACATTTCTTTGTTTTTGGTTGTTTACTTTGAACTACAGTGGCATAGAATGACAATGAAAAAACCTGTGGGGGGAATTAGTTTTTGCTAATTGTTTTGTAATTTGAGTTGGATGTTCAAAAACTCAACTGTCTAAAAGACACCTTCAGTCGTGAACTTCCATCAAATTAGTAACCGCTAAATACTCAGTGACCATTTCTCATTATCAAAAGCTTTAGACGTCGAAATACATCAAACCCTATGACAAATGAATTATGCATCTCTGAAGAAACGTATCACTGTGCTGAAAATGGATTCATGCCTTGATATTAGCATTTTTCGTAATAGATTATATTGTTGGATGATGAAACAATCCTACAATATCAATTGGAGTGATTTTATTGACTTCTGACTTCAGCAGTCTCATATGTTGCAACCACTGGTTTTAAATTTAGGAATTCCTTCTTCAGATACAATTGTTAATAAATGTCACGTTATTAAGTGACAAAATTCCAAAAATATCGATCTTCAGAAAGAGACTCCATGACACAAACGTAACAGTTTCACTCTGGATACTTGAGAGCATAAGGGTGATTCTTTTTGAAGTGATAAAATTTTCATTGCTGAAAGATCCCATGATAGACAGGCAACATACAAGTATAATGTCCCTTTGATTTTATGCAATTTGACTAATAATAGTTCCCTTGTAAAAATCAGTTAGGATACCCTGAAGTTTTCTGGATACACGTATTCAGGCATTAAAAACCTTCCAGGAAATTCGTTAGAGAATGGCTACCCATCCAGATTTACGGAGAGAAATGTGAAGGAATCGGAGAGCATAGAACAGATCCAGTCATCTCTGAAGGAAATGATCTTACGTAGCCCAAGATTCAAAGATGATATTTCCATGGATACACGTTCCCAACGTCTTCAAAATCCCTAAGTAATATATTCCATGCTGCAAAGCTCCGTATTATGTTCTCATATCAACGGCTGATTCCTCAGACCATGAAAGATAGGTTGGCGTGTTGGGTCTCACCAACGTGTAATTACAAGTTCACTTGCTCCTGAGGAAGGGAATACGTCAGAGGTAATATGCGTCCACTTAGAAAAATGAGATCGCAAACATTACCCAGGCTGGTTGGTTGATAAGCATAAAATCATCTCTAGCTTCGTTGTTGAACACCTCGTAGATTTCGCACATTTGGCTCTTCTAGGAATCTTGTTCAAGTTCTCTGAATCGTCCAATCAAACTTTTCGAAGAAGATAAGGATTGGACACTTGATTTCAGTCAAAGTTTTGTCAATTCATAGCTTCAAAAGTCAACTATGTTTTCAAAAGAAACATGTGAAAAAGCTCTCTTTGCCGTGTCCTTAATCAGGTACTCTGCGTCTTTGCTTGAAGTTTCATTTCACATTTTATTTATATGTTTTATTACTTTTATTTATTTGTTTCTACCAGGTAACAAATTTAACCATTCACTGCATTTTATAGAGACCATTGAGATTATGTCTGGTGTTACGTAGTTTTACTTCATTCCCTACATGCATCTGTGGATTAATTTTGACATTTGACCGAAAAATCATCTAAAATATTTTTCTTGAATCTCCTGAGTTCGATCCCTAGGTGAGCACCGCTGAAGAGCCCCACATTGTGACGAAACAGCTGTTAGGTGTTTCCGGGTTTCCAATAGTTCCCCAACTGATGTCAGTCCGGGATGAATAATACCTTTGAAATTTTACTTATGTATTTAGGGATGTATAGCCATCAAAGTGAGTCGTCGAAAAGATAATTATCTTGGCAGTAACCTCCTTGCTTTTTTAACAACTGAATTGGGATTTCTCGATATCAAAGATGTTTATTATTAAAAATGTCATGTTAATGGTCAGAACATAAACTTACTTGTGTATCGAATGGAAAGTATGTGATCTCAACTTCACAAGTACTTTTGAACAGTGCTTGGGGTACCCATAACATTTCACCATTACTTGAAACTACAACACGTGCATCTCGATGTTCTCTTAAGCGTTCATCAGCACTAGAATAGAAATTATTTGAAGCGTTCGTGAATTAATATGTTCATCACAAATAATAAATATATTGCATCCCAATATCCTGATATAAGATTATGCGCTGGATTATAAGATGCATTTTGTGTATGGTACTGTCCGGAACCCCATTTACAAGAAAGCATATCAATAGTATGCAGTGAAACATAGAAAAACATAAATAACAACGCTTCAATGGCCATAGTTGTGGAATGTAGAAGATACAGTATCATATAGAAATGTAGATGGAGAAAATACTGTACACTAAGATGCCAATAGGGTGGATATTTCTCAACATGGCTTTATGGTAAGGTTTAATATGTTGATCATTTCTAATAGACAATTTCTGTTGCTGTACCGGAAGTTTTCGTCACTATGTGGTTGCTTAGACTTCAGTTATCGCAGTGAATTTGGATGCATAACCTGAAGTTCGGTGGCAGAATGTCGAAATTAGTGAACCATAATCCTACAACTTGACAATTTTATTGGGGGAAATGATTTCATGGAGATTTTTGAACATTTTATTACGGAATAAGATTTACCAAAGTTTTTGCATCATCCTAACAAACTACAATTTTGATGATTTCATGTTCTGTTATTATGTTAAATCCAAAAGGAGTAATGTAATTCTTAACTTGTTATTTCATTGTCAGTAAACTTTTGCTCAGGCTAATAAGTCGATGAAGTTAGTTTATGCTATATCTAAGTAAAAAGAAGTCAACAATAAGTTTAGCGTATGAAAGTGAAAGTTGAATGTGATTTTTAAAATAAAACTGTTGAATACAACACTGATCTGCGATAAAATCACTAACACTAAATTTCTAAAATTTTATACATAACTGGAACCAATTAGAAAACAATATATGGAATTAATACGCTTATTTCAATTTCAAGTAAAGATATCTAAGTGAAGTTGTTCGAGACTACGTAAGAAAAATATAACAGGATTGATACCTATCAAATTGGTTCTCGTACTTCCTGACTGAAACATTTTATGAACTATCCATGTAATAATCCTAAGACAACTGAACATTTTCTCTCATTTCCTTTTTGGGAATTACATATCTAACATTTATAATCACTGCTAAGCGAAAGATTGAGAACTAGACTAATTGGAAATCTGAGATCTAAAACTTGTAAAATTTTCTGCATTCTTAGTATTGTTGTGTGTAACTATTTTCCAGTCGTTTCTATCGATTTCCAGTCAAATAATAACTTGCGATCATACCATAACACTATCTTCAGTAGCCGGTACTCAATGAAACAATATGTTAAAGCTGACCAAGAACTAACTCAATGTTTTATTGGGTAGATGTCGGATTATATTTTCAGTAAAAATATTTAATTAGCTATTATTAATAATACATGCAATACAATCAGAAAATGCTAGTTTGTATTTACTGAATTTTGAGTCGGAGAATTTTGACCAGAAAATTAATTTTTCAATGAAGTGAGGTTTGACAGATCAATTTTTTTGTAGATAAATTTTTTGGTTAAAATGAAACATTTTTTAGTGTTCTTTCAGATCATAAAGATGAGAATGAATACTCATCATTAGAAAATTCTGGTTTGTGACTGATTAGCATAGAAAGTTTAAAAAAGTATGCAGACCGCTTCATGTTCAGCTATTTCAGCTTGGATTCCTGTGAAGATATTCAAGTGTATTCCTAAGAAAAATTAACGCGTACCAAGATAAATGTATTACCTAAAGATTGCTTTTCATACAAACTAGTACTAGGTGGTGGACAGTTGTTTCACCTTAATGCGAGTCCTTATAAAAATATGTGCCTGTGACCAGACATTGGATTGAGCTCAGAACTCTCATTCCTATATATAAACACATCATAGCTGAATGACTTCAATGTACTATAAAATTGGGTGAAATTGGCTTTTGTTGGGGGAATCACTCAACTTGTTGAGGAAGAATTGACAACCAAATATAAAAAATTGGTAAAACAACGAATACCGGTGACGTTCTCGTCCCAAGCAGCAAATCATTATCGTCCTTTGGAAGAATATTACATTCATGTAGGAAAAAATACACTTGTAGTAAGAAATGATTGATTTAGACACTAGATGCCACAACAGATAGTAGAGCCATATTTTACATATCCATAAACCATGATGAAATTAACTGTCATGTATATATGGTTGTTGTGTACAAAATTTATAAAGTATCTCTCTGATAAAATGGGGGATAGGGCAGCGGAGAATAAAGTATGTGAACGTGCTTGCTTACAAATTATATAGTTTTATATCCGGAGTCCAGATCTGGGAAGGAAATATTCGCACAGTTCTAATATTTCCAAAATCGCTTTCATTCCAACGAAGAAGTGAGTCCGTCCATTTCTGAAACGAATCATCGGAAAAGAAATTTATCAATAATCAGAAACTCGATTCTTTGTCAAATGTATTTCACACAGATTTTGTCTGCAATCGGGGTGCAAAAGTAATAAGTACATTTATGTGAAAATAAAATGATGAGATCAAAGAAACATGAATTTCATGGGTGACTGATGGAGTTATATAAATCCATAGTTTTGGAGATAAGTTTTTATTATTGAAAAGGGCATGTGGTAAAAGTTTAACGTTCACTGTATCAAATTATTTCATAATAGCTGTAAAGTTTCTTCAGTTTTCAGTTTACATAACTGTCAAATTGCTTTCTGCTTTCGCTTATTACCTGAAGTTTTAAATCCTAACTACGAAACACTGATTTCCACACCATAATTTATTATATTCTAAGTATCCAGTAGATAGCTCCTACGAATTTCTCGGATGAGTTTGAGCGTCGAGTCCGATTTAATTATTGCATAAATGTTTTAATATCGTCCAAGCGTGTTTAGGAAATGAAGTAAAAATATTTTTCGAAACGTTTGGCTGTGTGTGCTTCACCTTCTTCAGTGGAATATTCGGATTTTATTAGATATTTAATCCTTAGATCTTACCTAACATTCTCTTCATCTAATTCTTAATCGAAATTAAATGATTTTATATACATTTTTACACTGAAAACTGTCTTGCGGTTATCTCACTTTTAACTTGTCTTGCCAGCTATGACAGGGTTTTGTTACTTTCCCAAGGAAGTCTTTATTTTGTAAACCTCTTAGTGATATAATGTAGAAATCAAAACTTGCTTATCATCCTGAAGACCACTCACATAATGAAGTAAACACATAGCTTGTGATTCGAAGCTGTTACAACCAAATATTTTTGTCTAATGTAATGGTTTTAAGCGTACTAATTATAATACCTTAGTAGCTCAAAGTGTATTGTGGAATTTCCCTCACATAAAATATAGGAGGAAAATGAAAAAAAATTAAAACTTTAATGCAGAACCTTAGCCATTGTTCTAAATCTTTTGTTTGACAAATTGGCTACTTTAAGTAGTACTGATCTATTCCACATCAATAATGGAATTATAGTTATAGTATGTTTTTATTACAACACAAATTTATAGATGAAAGATTACCAACGATGCTAAACAGCTGAATCCACGATTATCTATCTAGTGATTATGACATGCTTCTCGTTTTTTTAGTAGTGAAGACATAATTAGTTACGAATATGAAAAAAGAGTAAGCGACTTATGTCAATCCAATAAATGAGGAAATAGCTCCATGAGTAATCCCAACCACTGAAGATATCTACAATACATAGAGGCATACATCATGAGATTACATTCTACCCGAATCCCAATGATATGAAGGAATAAGAAGGGTGTGTCAATAAATCATCACATCATCCAAGGCATATTCACGTAATTTGGCATTTTCATTGTTTATATTTTACATGACTTGCTTCAAACAATAATTCTTATCCATTAGCTTTTCTAACCATGTAAACTGTAAAATATTCGCAGTATGCAATTACTGAGGTGATATAACTAGAATTCTCACTTCGTGGTAACTGGGATAATAACCGGTTTAGGAAGACAAAAGTTGCAACTGAATTCTTTTGAGTTGGAAATATTGCAGCCGCTCACATTTTTAACTCAATCCCCACCAACACCAAATACTTCAATCAACCTTCGAGGTCAAAATTAAAATACTTTTTCACAGTATCACGGATACAGCAGCATAGTCACGGTAACATTACAAGTACAACAGGTGAAATCACAATATAGGTCAAGGTAGCAGGGAACAAGGATAACCAATGGGCTTGCTATTATGCGTTAACTATCAAATCCACACAATTCTTACGTTAGTGAACTACATTTAGTAAGAAGACAAGCCTATTGGCTAGGCATATCCGAAGAAAACAGAAAACTTTCCCTTCCTATAGCTGGCAATAAGAGTTTTCTTAGGTGACTAATTGATTAGGAGGAATGATAAAACTCCCAAAGCGGGTAGGACATATTTCTCTGAAGTTCTTAGGCGACTGGAATTACACTAAGACAGTAACTGCCCATAGCGTTCAGTTTCGAACTTGACAGCATTATGAATGTTACCATTATTTCCTTTCGGTTCCTAGAGGAACATAGGGCTTCAGTAGCACATAGCCATTGCACTCTCTTCTATACACTCCTTTGAACCTCCATCCACCACTGACAAAAAGCTTCATTCCTTCCTCACACCATCTCCTCCATGTCACCCAACTCGTCATTTCACATTTCGCTTACACTCGACGACCTGGTCTGGCACGTGTTGTCTCACACGGTTTTCTCAAAATATCCCCAATCCAACTCATCTCCACTTTCTTCTGCATATTTGTTGAGCGATGGGTTTTCGATTGCTTCGTTTGCAGCCAGCAACCCAGAGTTCCTTGTTGCTTATTCTTATATTCTGGCCATCTGATCTTCAGTGTCAGTATTGAGTGAGTGTAGGCGGCAGCTGTTGATCTATATCTGCAGTTTGTTGGAAATGCTTTTCGCAACGCGCGGCCTCTGAACCATCACATAGAAGCACTGACTTAACATTGGTGTTGGAAATCCGGATCTTGTTGTTTATGCTCAGTGCAGTGCAGTGCAGTGCAGTGCAGTGCAGTGCAGTGCAGTACAGTACAGTACAGTTCATTAGATCTTCACACTGACTTCAGACTAATGAAAGCCTGTCTTGCTGTCTCTCCGATCCTGGCTTTGACATCCTCGTCTATGCCACCGCTGCCACCTGTAGTTGAAACGATGCTGCCTAGGTAGGTGGGTGAAGGAGACTACTTACTTTAGATTTCTCCACTTGATGGTGATTGGTGTTTGTTGTTGTTTCTATTGCTGCTGGTTGGGTGGTGGTGTGATCATGTCCATTGCTGTTGTCTCTGTGTCTGTTTCCAGTGCTTCTGGTGGGATTCCACCTGTTCCTACTGCTTGCCCGAATTTCAGCAGTTTTGCGGTATTCACGACTCCACTTCTGCAATCGTCGGAGGGTTTCCGTTCACTGATAGCTCTGTGGCTGGGCCGCTGGTGGCATTTCTGAAGGAGTTGCTGGTGGTGGTGGTGGTGGTGGTGGTCGATTCAAGAGTTTTCTGAAGTGATCAGTCCATCGTGTCCTTTGTTTCTCCTCTTTGTTGACTAAGTTTCCTCTACTATCTTTCATTGGTTTCATCTGCGTTGATCTCTTCCCAGACAGTAGGTAATCTGGTTATTTGATATAGTGTTGCCAGGTCTCCGTCTCTCCTACCAGCAGCCTGTTCTGTTTCACTTACCCAGTGTGTCGTACAAGTGTCTTTTGTCTTTGCACACACTCTTCTTCTTCACTTCTTTGTCCAGTGTAGTGTTTTACAGGTTGCATTCACTACCTCTTTTCGTTGTTCATCCCTGCATGGCATTGCATTGCATTGCACTGCACTGCACTGCACTGCACTGCAGTGATCCATCTTCGGCTTCAATATCACTATCTTCCTCTCCCTCCTCTATCAGCTTCCATGTGACCGTCGACATCCATTCCTTGTCCTATCCTGTCCTGTCCTATCCTGTTCTGTTCTGTTCTGCCCTGTCCTGTCCTATCCTAACATGACTTCTCCTGTCTTGCCTTTTCTTCCTTTCTAACACGGTTATGCAGGTTTCCTTCCACGTCTCTTTCACACAGTCTCAGTCTTCTTACACTCACGTCTCTTCACGCATGTTGTCTAATGTCTCCCATTTCGTCCTGATGACTGAATGACTCACTGACTCACTGACCCACTGACTGACTGACTGACCTGAAGATGTCCTTTGAGGTTTCGTCCTTCACTTCAGTTCAGTTCTGTTCAGTTGAGTTCAGTTTCTGTTCTGGGTGGTAGTTGAACTTTAACTGTGGCCTGTCGTCACCAACTTCTCTGAAGACTCTCAACGTGATTTGGAAGGTAGGTTGCTTGCACTAGATAGTGAAGTGAGTAGTGTGAACCACCTACATCTACTCCGCTTCTTCATATGATCTGGTGTCAAATAGTCTGCGTCTCCACCTTCTCCACATTGAGATGAAGTCGATGTGATTTTTAGTGTAGTGTGTCCTGGTGTCTGGTGAAATCGAATCCATGTCGCTGTCTTGTGAATATCCTTGTGTTTTTACACACTGCCTCGCCTCCAATGACAGAATCGTTGTGCCGACAAACGGAAAAATTTGTTTTCACAGCTTCCTTGTGGATCATCGACGAGCACTGAACACTGAGGATTCTCTAGTTTAGATGCCAAAAACTCCATACTTTATGGAAACTGTTCAGATTATATTGATTATCAATATGAATTCCTTTAGTTAGATCAAAATTCAACTCTTCTAAAAATGGAATGTATTTTGATGCCTACTACCATACACTATAGATTTCTTAGTTCACTGGTTCATTAAACTAAAAGCAGCAGGTTATATTTGCTTTCTTGAAAGAAAGTTATTTTAAAGTATTTCATCAGACTCATTTGAATTATGGAAGCATAAATGTCTTATTATTAGCTATCACATGTCAAAAACGTTGATTCTTTACTCTCAGTTGTTACTTACATACATTGACCAACAGTTAGTTCGTAAAATTTGTTTATTTTCATCCAAGTCCAAAATTTGGAAAAGTTGCAATCCATATCGAACATCCACTTTAATTTTACTATCATTCACTGGACGTCCAATAACACCAAATTGTTCATATCGATTAAGCAACATTCTGATAAGATTCTTCTCTACTGATTTTGTTTTCATCTCTTTTAAAAATAATTTTGTAAACGATGTCAAATATAATAAATATGTAAGCATTTCGAAAGTGTTCTTATTTTCACAATAAAGATGTAATCAAGAGGCTTTTATCTAGTTATACATCTCATAACGTGTAAAATTCATGAAATCAACATTTAAGAACATAATCTTTTCTGGGCTTTGTTTATACTAACTAACTTTTCACTGTTCACTTACTTGTAACTAAATTGGTTTCAACGCAGCTATCACTCTACAAACGTTTTACGGTGTTTAACTGTTCTGTTCCGTAAATGTTTAAGTGAAATAATATAATCTATATTCTTCTGACTTCAGGAAGTATAAATCATATAGAGATCAAATTGCAACGCGTTACGAAAGGGATTTCCAACAAACTATAGACTTTCATCTTCTAATAGCTTAATATCACTTAAGCTAGTAATCAGATGATTCATGCATCTAGGGAACAGCGTGACCACATGATATGCAAACTATGTCCACTTTTATTAGTGTTAAATAAACAATTAAAGAACAAATTAACTTCATAAGCACCACCTATTGGTGACGATACTCTGGCTATTGAGGTGCAAGATTATGTTGGCGAAACATTATTGTTCAATATAGATTCATAACAGCTAACTGAGTGGCATTTTTGCACTAAGTTTAACTAGTTTCCTGACATACTTCCCGACAAATCAACGTATCCTTATGGATGCGCTTACCGATAAGAAGTTCAGCAATTAACAGAAATGCAAACTCTGTAGACTCACCACAAATCACAAAGGTGAAACCTGATTCTCTTGAAACTCTTATCTAGTTATATTTAAACAAGCTTCAGAACTCCAGTTAACCTAGTAATAAATTATGTCACATCATTTATAATCATCTTTTCACTTATAAAGTAATGAAAAGGTGTAAAGATCGCTATTATCCCCAGTTGACGTCAACTAATCAGATATCAAAAATCAATCAATCAATCAAATTTTTCCTGCAGCATGTAGCTATAGTGCTTCAGAAGTGGAGCTGTCACAATGATCACGAAAGTATTTAAATAAACGTGATACTTCTGTCGTACAATGTTAACAGCTTTATTCATGATACAGCACAACGCATTTTCTAGCGTTTTGTAGGTGAGTTTCTACCGCACTTACAACCTTCATTGCTGGTAGTCTTCACTTATATGAAATCTACAGAAATATGCAACCCTAAAAGACGAAAAACAACTCAATGTTAATGGACCAGAATTCGTTATAAATTGGCAAATATTTTTCGGTATATGCTTTAATTATACCTCCAAAATGTTCGTGAGGCAATTCTTATGGATAGTACAGTAGCCATAGTCTCCTCATAAGTCTCATACTAGCAGATAGTTTATGACAGACTTGGAGAATCATGTCCTTAGGAATTCATTTTGACAACTAAGCACTGACTTTCTTGAGCACACATCTAACGGTACCATCTAGCTTCAGACGTTCATTTATTTTATCTGTTGTAGTGGTGCAGAAACTTCAGAAAACTCAACGCATCCAGACAGGATGCATGTATTCTACTAAGATGCTGTGCTGTTCACCGAAATTACCATCTAAGAATGTTTCTATCTGTCTCTTAAAAATCTCACAGGTGGATAAAACAGCAAAAACTAAGACAGAATCAGACTTGATTCTACTTCCTGCGGGATTAGTTGCTCAATTATTATACACAGGTATCCTCTTTTTTCATTTCACTAAAATTATACCAATTACGCCACTGTGAAGCTGATACTGTGGTGCAGTCTTTGGCACGACCAATAGTTAGACATCTTTTTAAGCAGTATACAGCTTATCTGGAAACCAGACAAAAAGGATAAATTATCTGATTAAATTTATAGTTAATTTTAAATGTAGTTTGACTTTCAATATATTGATATTTTTGGCATTACAAATAATGTGCTGATTTCAGAAGCACATCAAGTAAAAACGATGATATAGATTTTACGTCTGTTTTCATGACTTCAATTATAAAAGCATTTCTATGCTTACCAGACACTTCATCGTCAAAATAATTATGACACACCCATTTTATAGACTGTATGGACTATACACGTTTGCCTTGGATAGAACAAACAAATGATGACTCGAGTATAAGTTTACGTTAAGTTGAATAGAATGTATAAGACTTAGCCATCTGAAATCGCCATTTATATGATTGTTGTAAATATTTTCGTGGATCTTCGAATCAGTTATCTTAAAAGAAATACATTTAACTGAAAATATTGCAGGAAAGCAAGTTTTAAAACTGCCGGTACATATAACTTCAAGGTATTTAGGAAGACAACATTCTTCATTTATTGATCGATATTGAGCTAATGAATTTCTATATTTGTCACTTTCTTCAGTTAAACTAATCCTTCATAAAATGAATACATATAAATTAGGATTGTATATCCTTGAGGATAGAAGAGCAGTGCAGCAACCGTTTGGGAGAACTTATTCACCGTCATACTACCTTTTACGGACTGTTGGCTGTCTGACACATAGTTCACCATCACACAATCTCAGTTATAATAATTCTGTGTATAAATGACAACTTATTTCATTGTTGACCTGGACCATCATCGAACATAGACATGAAGTTATGTGGACAGCCGTTTACTCTGTTCACATTCGCTCAGTTGGGTTTTAGGGATAGTCAACACCTACGATCATGGTAAATTAGTAGGATACAATGCATGAGTTAAGTATTACGTTTAGTTATCTAGTCCATTGTGGAGTTGACTACATATATTTTCGGGATTTCTGTCCCATAAAAAGACATAGTTTTGGTCTTCTGCCATTTCCTCTTTCAACTTTGAATGACTCATTATCAGTAAGGAGTAAATCATATTACTGATTTCATAATGGACTACATCCCCTGGGAAATAATCAATACGAGTGTATCATTCATAAATCAGTCAACCACTAAAACTCGTTTCAACAAACTGTTTCTTCGTGTCATTTACCAGAGCTGGATTTTCAGAGGCCAAGAACGAAGTTTATTCCAATTAATGATTGTATCTTATGACAAGCATATTATTGAGAAAAACCTGCAAATTCTGGCATAGTTATTTTTTAAGGTGATTTTTGTTTCTTTGGTTAGTTCTTCTTCTTTTCAAAAGCTTTCAGTAATTTCAGCCGCCCTAATGAACTTGAATGACGCAATGAGTATACCATTTACTGATGTGAAATATCATGTAGACGCAATAAATTCCTTCATAGTAATCAGCAGATAAAAGATCTCGTGCCTACTCCGAATTGCCCAAGACGTCACTATCGGACGAGTTCTGCCTAGAGAGTGTGCTTAAAAGGAAACAGTTACGAATTAGTTATTGCTCTGGTAACTGATGACTTTTCACATTCTCACCCTTCCCGAAATATCTTGGTATATTTTTTAAATGCTTATTCATATCCATGTTCATACTGACTGGCTTTTATTTATTACGGTATTTGTTATCATTAGGATTTTATATCCCACTCATCACTCTGTTAACATAATATTTTCATAAAATTACGCAACCCTCATACTTGCTTGTTATCTTACCTCAATCATTAGGAAACACTGCTCGCCTTACTTTTTATAACATCTATCTAGTTTGACTAAATGCACTACCTAAACCGCTTCTGTGTTCTGAGTTGTAGTGTTTTCTTGATCTGTAAATCATAAACGGGCATCTTTAAACGCTTTGCGTTAGGTTTTGAAAAACATTAGTAATGGTGACTGTTTACCTACTTACTCAGTTTTTATGCAGCTGACGAAAATCCAATGAAGTAAAATAATGTCATGTTATTCTGTAAGTGTTGTTCTCATTACCTTTTTCAAGCTTTCAATAAATTACCATACTGAAGCTATCATGTACTAAAATTTGCAAGAGGGATTATCATTTTATATCATAATGGTAAAGTATATTTCAAAGAAGCTGATGTAGTGTAGACATCCTCGATAGGTGATAAGATGTCTAGAACTAAACCTCGGACCTCAGAGAACAACAAACCACTTCAGATTACATCTTGGTTGACAAATCGTCATTACTAGGTGATTATTACTGGTTGATTTTCAGTTAGTGTAGAACCAGATTAACGTGGGAATGTACGTCGGTGAAAAAATATGATGTAACTGAATTTTAAATGACAGACTTATGCTTCTACCTATGTTTCGAGTCACGCTGTGAAAAATGTTGAATATAAAATACGGAAAAATTTGGTGATACACCTGTTTTATTTGACTAATTTTATTTCTATACCCATGTGTTACAAGTTCTTTGATTGGAGAGTGATGGACGATGTTAAGGTGTCATTCTCATCATCCATTTGTTTTTTTTTTCAACCGATTTAAACACATGATATTGTCATTTAGTAGGTGTTTAGCTACTCAGCTAAATCCATACTACAGACAGACATTTAACGTTAAGATAAGGGTTCCATTCGACTTTGAGAACCTCATTGGTGATGTCTCCGAGCAAAACTTCATATGCTGTTTAGACTAGTTCATTTTTGAATTATGAAAACGTATATAATACGGAAAAACATCTACAAATACTTTACCTTTAGGATGACCTTTAGGTGCAAGTCCTTCGACATACGATACTCCATTTAGATGCCAAGCAATAATGTAACATAGTATGTTAATTCCATTTTAGTTTTAGGAAATGCATCAAAAAAGTTCTGCTTCCAACGAAATCATTATCACTTTTTAACTAGATTTCCTGCATATAAAACTGCCAAGAACAGAATAGTTCAGCCTACTTTCATCTTCATCACCTATTTATCCTAGCCAATCTACTTCTTTTCTCTGTTTTTTGGGCTGGTCGATAGCTTAGGTAGAGGTTATATCTGTTCAACAACTTAAATTTTGATTGGTCAAGTAATTATGTCTGAAAATCTATCCTTGTGATTTTGGTCACAGTCAATAGGTTCAGCATAGCTATCAGATTTTGTAATAAAAGAAATTTATTTAACAAAAAGAAGTTGATTTCTCCCTCACTGAAAGTCTCATCAGTAGTATGAATTTGTCAAAGCAGAAAACTTGTTGTAAATAATATCAAGGATTATAGACATAAAAATGGCTGTATAAGTTGCTGTTAATAAAAGTGACCATATATCTATTTCGAATATTGATTAACTGCACACATCTGCAATTGTTAGTATCTGGTAGTGGATAGCAAAAAGTCTAGGTAACACACTTATTTCCATTCTCATTTCATCAAATGGAAACTGTCACTCACACACGTCGTAGAGATTAGGAGAGCTTTGGATTAAATTAATGGTTGACTTTTCTAAACCATGATTGCTAAACTTTCATAACGGCTTGATTTTGCTATTGCAATAAGCCTTCAGATCTAAACTGATAAAAATGATAGTTCCGTGATATTTTTCTCTATCAAGAAAATTGTTTAGAGGGAAAATAACCTCATACAGTGTTACTTCTGGATAAACTACGGCACAATGTAAGTATGGTGTTTCTCAAAGATGTTGCCTGGGATGCTGCTTCCCTGTTACTGAAGAGGTAAGTTAGAAAATGCTAGCTCTGGGAACGCCACACAGAATTCCCGTGAGAGTACAGAACGAGGTCATTCAGTTCTACATCAAACACTATTATATAAGGCTATTACCAGCGTAAAGTAGTCCCACTTTACTCCCTGAAGTCACCTCTCAAGATTCTTAAGCACTTCAATTATAATCGAATTTTTCGTCAGCTACTTCAAAAAGAAGAAAGTGTGTGTGTGTCAATCACCTGTGCATCTGAAGCATTGCTAGAATTTGTTCGTATGATGTTTTTGTATATCATTGGGATCGTGTCTCATCAAGTAAAATTTTCACGTATAACAACCGAGTACATTATAACACAAAATTTACCAGTGAAATGAATACGGAGATGTAATCATAGTTTGTTTGCCTGTTCATACTTTGCGTGAGATGAATTCTAGTATTCTTGGCTTCTTGCCATCTACTGTGTTTCTGCTACGATTAATGTTCTCAACTAGGGTTAGGATTTCGTCTTCAGTCTTATGAACAGCGGACTGAGGAAATAAATAAATACTAATACTACCTACTACTATTAGGCCTGATTTCTAAGTAAGATCTTTTCCTACTGTCTCGACTTTACACCGACAGACCCAAAGAGAAAATTGGTACATTTCATTAGCCCATTAGGATAACAGTACTGCTGACGAAATGTATACAAAATATAGGCTTAGAAATCATTGGCGGCCTGGTCAAAATGTCAGCAAATGAGAACAAAAGGTAGTAAAATCAAGATTGCTCGCCACTAATTGGTTGTCTTCTTACCTGTTTCGTGCAACTTAAGTTGTGTCTTGGCATATATGCAATATACTGACATGTTAGACTAATGAAAATAGTCATGTCTTTCAATTCCAAGACTATGGCATTCAGCATCTAACGGTGCGAAATAAGTGAACCGAACAATATTAGAATTGAAACTCATTTGTTGAACATTAAATGGGAATCAATGTCAGATAAACTATCCTTCTATCAAAAGAGCCTCAATAATTCTCCTGCAGATGGTACTAATGGTTGTTGATAAGTCACAAAATGTTTACTTGTCATGATAACGGATCGTTCGGCATCTATTTCATGACACTAAATAATCCACTGTGGATATCTGACCTGACTGAAAATGGCACAGTAGCTGTTTCCTTTAGGGTTGGTTGTTGGCCAGTTCGTCAGATAAAGTGTCTACTTACTGGAAGCCGCGGGTCCATTAGTAGGGAATGTTGAGATTGTAGTTCAACGAGAATCTTATCCATTTTGCAGGCTTACTTGTTGAATACACTGTAGTTCCGTTCTTACATTTGAAACAGACCTATATCAGCTATCAAATAGCAAAACTAGCAACCGCTGATTATCTTACGGAGCTTTCTGTGCAAAGCATCAATAACATGGGTTCTTTTTGTCTTTAATTCTTTTTTCACAAGTGCTAAAATACACACATTGTTTGTTATAGTCCTCTCAGATACGCCCGGAAAGTATGATACATTTGACCCCTTACACTACCATTTGATTAGTAAACAAGTGTTATTATGAGAAATAGGTGACCAAAATGAATGAGTGGCTAGTTAGAACTCAACACTACTCCCGCTTTTTGAGCTTCGTGATTACATTCAGAAAAGTGACACTATCCAGCACCATTCTCGAATTATTCACTAGAAGCCTCGAGAACATGGCTGCAATAACGAAAGCAACACACTACAATGGATTACTGACTCTATCAGTGATCAGAAAGAAGATGCTCCTTTAATGGCAGATGTCCGTTATTTAAATCTCACTCCCTTAGAACTAAGACAATGCAGATGTTCGTTAGTCTTAATTACTAGATTTTTGATACAAGATAAAAAACGGTAACATTTGTAATGATGTGGTTTGAAACCATACTCCTCAACCTGATGAATAATACCAATGTTTTTATCCTTCGTTTTGGCTAATAATTAGTCTATTACTATGAAATTATCAAAGATACTGTCGGTACGACAGTGCTGGGGACCTTAGCATTCTTAAATAACTTAAAGACTGAAGGAGTATTCCTAATGCCTGAAGATGAATGACTGTCATCGTTGGTGATGAAAAGTATGGTAAAAATACCTTTGAGAATTGAACTAGGTTGACAGTGACTTTCAAGTGCAGCATTAAAAATCATTTAAAAGTCAAATTTTAACAGCTCTGCTTTCTGTTTTACTCACTATGCTATTTTTGTTGTAATAACAGTAGGATACTGGGAAATTGAGCCAATATCTTCTACATATTCGAACGACTTCCTATAATACTAAGGATCCTAGGTAGAATACTCAGACATTCACCCACCCATTTCTTCCATCACATACAAAAGATACTGTCAAGATACCTATGATCTCAGACTTCAAACTTTGATTGCCAGTGTTTCACAACTATACAGAATGATCAAGTGGACTTGGAGAAGGAAAATATTACCTGCTGGATATCTTCTGCGAACCTCTTTGTTAACAAAATGAAACGCCTTGTTCAGACTGTCAAAGGTTTGGTAGGTGTTTCAATGACACCTTTTGCAGTTTGAAAGTAACCGATAAAAAATCATATCTGGGTTTTGGTATGATAAGTGATAGATCTTCCTAGGACTTGTTTGCTACTGGATTTTTGTTTTAATGGGTTATGGGTTGTCAAACCTTAGAATCATAGTGTACTGACAGATACCCATATATATATATATATATATATATATATATATATATATATATATATATATATATATATATATATATATATATAATTTCACTCACTACTTCGTAACGAATTTCTTCTCAATTCGTCGACTATCCTTCACGGATAAAAATTAAGTAATTCGGAACGAAATCTTAAAAAAAGATAATGAGTTAGTAAAAATTCATGCTACATCATAAATAATCTTAAATAAAAATTACTTCACATTTTAGTGAACGTTTTCGATGAAGTTCAACGTCAGCACACAACTTTCTATGTAAAATACCAATACTTAGCTCAAACTTTATTGGTGATCCATATGCCGACTGGGTGTTCCACTCAGAATGCAAATCCAGCATTCTTAATTGTATGGAAGATAACTGTGATGGTGCTGCAGCGCTAATGCATTCACATCTTAATCCGGCTGCAGCTAGATGAATTTTACATATTTTATTTTCTGCTGAGTAGTACAGAATGTGTGTCCTGGGGTGTGTTTAGCGGAACAATACACGCTTTACAGCAAAATATCGCCGTCAAATAATACGGGATGATGCATGCCTTTTATGAAACTTCCTACATATTTAACAGCCTTTCTAATGTGAAATAATTCCACTATTCAAATGTTTTGGATATCAATTTTCGTTGTAAAAACGCTGGATCACGGCAGGACACGAATCAGCTGCCTTCAGTTTACCAGTACACAGCTTTCTTATTTAACCTTGATACCGAAATGTAGACTGCATCCCAGCTTCACTTCATTAATCATATATTACTCCTTATTCTTATAAGAACTAATGATAAGACACTATCTGTTCTTTATTACACAAGCTTTTCAACTAGACTGCTACATTCAATTCACATCTTATTGTACCAGAAAAAAAAGTAATCTATTTTTTCACTGAAAAACTTGTTAGCTGGTTGGAGGCAATTGCCAGGAAGTCCCGGACCCAGGCAAGGTGTATCCAAAAACTTTCGGAAACTAAAGTCCCCTCTAATATTTGAACGCATATCACCTACTGCTGAAGTCAGAGACATTACCACAGAGCCATCTGAATCACGATTAACTATCTTGTTCCTTCCTTTGTTGAATAAATAGGTACTTCTTCATCTACATCTAAGTAATTACCATCAATTTTTATCTGAGCAAAATATAAAGTATCTAAAATCTGTTCTTTCCTACTCAGAAAGCAGAAAGTTCAAGGTTTGGTTCTAAGAAACCATCATGATATATGTAGATTGATAATAAACGACCGAAATATAGATCACTATCATAAATCATTGGCCGATGGGATAAAACATTTTTATTTGCAGATTTCGCTCCGTGCTGCTATGTGATTATTATAAATTTTACTGAACAATTTAATACTTCACGAAGTTAGTCAAGATGAGTTGGTTTATCGTTGATCTAAGTCATTCCTATTAATGCTCACTATTTACTAGCCGATCCGAAGCTCTGCCAGAGACGGAAGGTTGAGCATAGGGCTAGGTATGATATGGAAGTGCTAGAAATCTGCGAAAGCAGATGGAATGGAGGTGGACTCTTCAAACTGTCAACTGGAGGGTCAATAATCTACTCCGATATTGTCACCCACACGATAACCACGAGCACACTGTGTTTTGCAGTGGCTATCATGATGTCTCCAACAGCATCGAAGGCTCTCTCTCATGCAGTGAGAACCAATCTCCTCCTCCAATATCAAGATCATAACCGCAAGACAGATTCAACTCAGAAGGAAGCAGATTATGTCAGGAAGAAATGAAAGATTGTGTGCAGTCGTTGCGCCAGGTTCCAAAGACTGCAGAGAACGGAGTGCAATGGAGGCATACTACTGAAGCCCTATGTTCCACAAGGAAAACAAGGGAAAAATAATAGTAAATAATTAATGATGTGTCTTTTTAGATTAAAGTCGTCATCTCAGCACTTGTTACGGCGGCCTTTAAAGTCACTTGTCTCATCGCTTTCAATATCGTTGCTATCAACGTCTTATTACACTCGGCCACTTCATACATTTACTAAGAAGGTCACTAGGAATCTGCTTCATGGTACTACATAAGAAATATAAACATTAAGTTGCTTTTCCCTTTCCCCACTCATTGTGTCCTTTCTTGATGTCTAATCAACCAACTGCCTTCACTTTTAATCTCTGTTCATTGAGGAGAAATACGAATGTATGCACGCACACATGTATACAAGCAAAAAAAGTGAGCAACATTCACACACATATATGTAAAATAAGTTTCCTCTTCGCATAAATGTTAGGCTTCTTAAACCGAAGAAAATAAAGCAAGAGGACTACAGTTGACTAAAGTAATATTATATAAAGAAAGAAATCCAGTCAGTAACCCTGAAAACGATGACCTAGTTTATATAATCTTTTATATCAACTGTTTTGCATTCATGAGGAAGAAAAAGAAAAGAAACGCAAACAAAATGGGAAGAAATCGATGTTTAATTTCGCTTTTCCTGCGTTCTGTGTGATATGCATGATAAATATAAGTCAAAGTGGGTAGAATAAAAATTCAAGAAAATCGAATATTGGTAACTTCAACTACATATATATGATAGCATTCAGGGAAAATGAACCTCGCATAGGTAACTAGTTCGCCAGTTACTAGCTGCTCCTCAGCCCTGTAAAAGACGGATAGCTGGGCATAGGCTAGCAACCCTACCGCGTAAAACCAATCCAGTCGCCAAACAAACATCTAAGCACAGAGAAAATATAGAACATAAAATCAAACTTATTCCTCGCTGGAATCGGATGGGCAAAGTGACCATGGTTGGTGAAAGTTTTGAGGACCCAATTAGTCGATGTGTATCCTATTCTCTCGATGAAAGCAAACGTAAGCGCAGCGACATGAAATGTCCACATCATATATGAAGCTGGCTAGCATAGCTGCCTAGATTGCAAAATAAATGAGGAGGGAGATATGGCACAGAAGTGTTTGAAATCTGCGAGTGAAGATGGAATGGAAGCAGACTCTCCAAACTGTCAACTGCAGAGTCAATAATCTACTCAGATATTGTCAACCACACAACAACCACCAGCACACTGAGTTTTGCAGTGGCTATCATGATGTCTCCAACAGCATCGAAGGCTCTCTCTCATGCAGTGAGAACCAATCTCCTCCTCCAGGATCAGCATCATGACAGCGAGATGGATTCAACTCAAAAAGAAGCAACGTCACAAGCATACAGTGCTACGCTATGCTACGCACCTACAAATAATGCAGATGAAGAGAAGAAGGAGGAATTCTACAGACAACTGCAATCAACACTGGACAAGACTTCATCACAGTTGGCGACATCAAAATCCTGATGGGTGGGGTGACATGAATGACGAACTCGGAGCAGACAACACAGGAAGAGAACTGATCATCGTCGAGAAGCACTCGGTGAAATGATGAATGAGAATGGAGAACTGTTTGCAGATTTCTGTGCATTCAAAGACTTGGTGATTGGAGGCGAGGCAGTGTGTACAAACATAAGGATATTCACAAGACAGCGACATGGATTCGATTTCACCAGACACCAGGACACACTACACTAAAAATCACATCGACTTCATCTCAATGTGAAGAAGGTGGAGACGCAGACTACTTGACACCAGATCATATGAAGAAGCGGAGTAGATGTAGGTGGTTCACACTACTCACTTCACTATCTAGTGCAAGCAACCTACCTTCCAAATCACGTTGAGAGTCTTCGGAGAAGTTGGTGACGATAGACCACAGTTAAAGTTCAACTACCACCCAGAACAGAAACTGAACTCAACTGAACTGAACTGAACTGAACTGAACTGAACTGAACTGAAGGACGAAACCTCAAAGGACATCTTCACATCAGTCAGTCAGTCAGTCAGTTAGTCAGTGAGTCAATCAGTCAGTCAGTCAGTCAGTCAGTCATCAGGACGAAATGGGAGACATTAGACAACATGCGTGAAGAGACGTGAGTGTAAGAAGACTGAGACTGTGTGAAAGAGACGTGGAAGGAAACCTGCATAACCGTGTTAGTAAGGAAGAAAAGGCAAGACAGGAGAGGTCATGACAGGACAGGACAGGATAGGACAGGATAGGACAAGGAATGGATGTCGACGGTCACATGGAAGCTGATAGAGGAGGGAGAGGAAGATAGTGATATTGAAGCCGAAGATGGATCACTGTAGTGCAGTGCAATGCAGTGCAGTGCAGTGCAGTGCAGTGCAGTGCAGTGCAGTGCAGTGCAGTGCAGTGCAGTGCAGTGCAGTGCAATGCAATGCAATGCAATGCCATGCAGGGATGAACAACGAAAAGAGGTAGTGAATGCAACCTGTAAAACACTACACTGGACAAAGAAGTGAAGAAGAAGAGTGTGTGCAAAGACAAAAGACACTTGTACGACACACTGGGTAAGTGAAACAGAACAGGCTGCTGGTAGGAGAGACGGAGACCTGGCAACACTATATCAAATAACCAGATTACCTACTG